CGGTTCACCAAAGGAAAGAAAAATATTCCACCCAGCTCCCCACTGATCACAACAGCAAGAACAGCCAGCTGTCTGGAAAGAGCTTTACATCTCTCCCAAGACAGTCATGTCAGACTCTGGTTATGATCTTTCTAAGAGAGAACACTCACTCTCCAACTCAGTCATGACTACACACCGGCCCTGCAGAATTCCTATGCAAATCAGAGCCACCATCTCCATCAACAGCCCTCCCATAAATAGAGTATGATAGCAGAGGGATTAAGTTAGATTTAAAATCCTGCACCGCAGCAGTTGCTATATCGAGAGGGGGTGATGACTAGGAGGTGCAGTAAATGCTCCCATTTTCCTGTATCCTTAGAACTCATTCCTCCAAGTCACAAGGAAGGGCAGCGGGGCAGTTTCAAGCTCTATTTCTCAGAGCCATATTTGATCAGTGTTGGCTGACGTTATAAGGGAAAGTGGTTTAGGCCAAATCCATTATTTCCCCATTGTTGTCAATAGCAACCTGGCTTTTCAAAGGGTTTCCTGTAAACCTGGCATTCAGCAAACAGAGGACCTTTCGACCTCCCACCTGCCCCACTGTAAGTACAGACTCACCTTAAAATCTGTATTATTGATGTACTCAAACACCAAAGCTGGAGTCTTTGACTGCAAGAGAAAGAGGATTGGTTAGCCCCCTTCCTGCAAGAGCAGGACCTTCTGCTCCTTCAGAGCCCCCTATTGCTGACTGACAAAAAACAACCCACACTTTTCAGCCTCAAGCCTCTCGCTTTGCCACCAAAGGGTGTAGGAACAAGGCAGGCTTATTACCCACACAGCAACCATCAGCTAGGCATTTCCATTCTGGGAAAGAGGCAAACGTGGCATCCGAACAACAAACCAAACCACAGGAAAAACGATTTAGGAAGGAAGGAAATACGCAGCAGCTGGTAGGTAGGAAGACAGCAAGATGTAAACAAGAGGGAGGATGAATCTAACCCGTGGGTAAGCCACAAGTGGCCATGACGCAGAGACAGCGTTTATTTATATGGGAGTGTTTAAGGCAGACGTGTTCGACCCACAAGCTTTCCCCACACTGATCAATTCAAGAGGTATCACTAGATACCAAATAGGAATCAAGGGTTTGGGGGGAGAAGGAAGATTACCAAGTCATCCAAACCCATATAGTTTCAAGAGACCCCAATAATCCCACACTGCTCTTCATGGAAGGAAGATGCAAACAGCAAGATGAAGGCTAAGGTGACACAGACAACCAGCAACAAACACGAGTCTGACACTTGAAACGTGAAGTTCCATCAACTGCTCTATAGCCCGGAGAGAACAACGCGCCCAGCACACAAGATACCCCAGGACTTACTGACACCTACCACTGGATCCTTGACCGTATCAATCAGCTTAATGATGTTGGTGCCACCTCGCAGGTTCTCCAGAATCTTAACCTCTCGTTTTATCTTCTTTTTCTTCACTGGCTTAAATACACAAAAGTGATTAGAAGTGAGACCCTTCCAGAAGATGACACCAGTTCTCTTCCAGCCAGCCAGGCTGGGCTGAACTAGTTCCCTCCTCTCGGGGGAGGGAGAATGAGAAAACCAGCTGCAAGGAGGCGGCAGCTTTCAGAAAAGGCCAACATGCAGAGGCATCTCAAACAGCAAATTCCCTCTTCTTACGATAAGGGACTCTTCTGCCACCTACAACATCAGAGCATTTTATGACCATTAGCCACAAGTACTGTGGTCATCACGAAGTACAAAAGCACGTGAAGACTGATTAATGAGCACCCAACATGCAAAAGGTTACAGTTATGCATTTATCATCACATAACAAATACGGCAGATGTCCCACAGCCTGCGTTTACTGGTTTAAACGCACAGCATTTGCTTGGTCCACTGCTGTGCAGTTCTTATTTCTACTGGACAGATCTCATCTTGAGTCATCCTTCAATTAGAAAACATGCTGAAATTCCAGCAAGAGGCTGAACCTCTTTAGTCCCACACTGAACCTGAGAATACACTGAACCATGGGAGGTCAATGTTGTCTAGCAGCATTACATAAGAACGGCCGTACTGGGTCACACCAAAGAGCCATCTGGCTCAGTATCCTGTCTGCTGACAGCGGCCCATACCAGATGCCCCAGAGGAAGGGAATACAATGGGTAATCATCACGTGATCCCTTTCCTGTCATCGATTTCCAGACAAACTGAGGAGAAGGACACCATTTCTACCCATCCTCGCTAATAGCTATTGATGGACCTAACCTCCATGAATCTAGCTGTTTTTTGAACCCTATTAAAGTCCTGGTCTTCACAACATCCTCTGGCAAGGAGTTCCACAGGTTGATTTTGCGCTGAGTGAAGAAAAGCTTGCTTTTCTTTTAAACCTGCTACCTATTAATTTCATTTGATGACCTCTAGTTCTTATATTGTGGGAATAAGTAAATAACTTTTCCTTATTCACTTTTTCCTCACCAGTCATGATTTTATAGACCTCTATCATATCCCCCCCTTAGTCTCCTCTTTTCTAAGATGAAAAGTCCAAGTCTTTTTAATCTGACTTCATATGGGACCCGTTCCAAACCCCTCATCATTTTTGTTGCTCTTTTCTGAACCTTTTCCAATGCCAATGTGTCTTTTTTGAAATGAAGCGATCACATCTATACGCAGTATTCAAGATGTGGGCGTCCCATGGTTTTATATAGAGGCCATAAGATATTCTCTGTCTTATTCTCTATCCCTTTTTTATTGATTCCTAACATGCTATTTGCTTTTTTGACTGCTGCTGCACACTGAGTGGATGTTTTCAGAGAACTATCCATAATGACTCCAAGATCTCTCTCTCTCGAGTAGTTGTAGCTAAATTAGTCCCCATCGTACCGTATGTATAGTTGGAAAAAATAATCCCAATGTGCATTACTTCCCATTTATCAACATTAAATTTCATTTGCCATTTTGTTGTCCAATCATTTAGTTTGGTGAGATCTTTTTGAAGCTCTTCACAGTCTGCTTTGGTCTTAACGATCTTGAGCAGTTTGGTATCATCTGCAAATTTTGCCACCTCACTGCTTACCCCTTTCTCTAGAAGATCATGACTAACACTTCCACTGCTTACTGGGCTCTTAGAAGACATCTAGGAGTAAGTTAGAACTCAACAGCACAGAATACGGAGAGCCAGGACTGATGGCTGTAAACAAATTTTATGGGACCACAGGAAACTTGGCCACACCCATGCTAAGCGGACATCCTGGCTAACTAAAATTGTGCCGGAACATGGATGTTGCTACACCAGAGCGTACCGGACTAGAGAGGTTCAACCAGTACTAAGTGTTTAAACTCCTTCATAAACATTAAGTGTTTAATTACACACCAGGAAGTGCAGACACCTAGTAAAATTACACTTGTTGACAAGTTATTGCTTTTGTACACAAGATGCAGTTGTTGACTTGCTCTTCCTGCACCTTCTTGGAGAAAAAAGCAGCACAACAAGAGAGATTTGAAGACAAGGGCTATGAACAATGGTCTCATCTACAAAACGAGTCATAGAAAACCACCTTAGTGAGGTACTAAGGAGGAATTTAAGTTTGTGAGAAGCACTCTAACTTCCTTACTGCCTCCGCCCACAAAACATGGCTTGTATAATGAGAAACTTTAGACACATCTTGGTAACACTGATGTTTAGAAATTTCCTTCTTCATTTTGGCTGTCTCCAAAAGCATTGAAAGTTAGAGACCTTACAAGTCTCTCAAAATCTTTAAGTGCTTTCAATCTGAAAACAAAATAGTCACAAGAACCTCTAACTCACAAGTATGAACACTATCATCCCTCGCCTCACCCCATCAGATCCTGCCTTTAAGAGCGAGCATATCATAAATACACACACCCACGAACAGAGCCTCACACAGATACAAAAATTTGTATCCGCATCTGTGTAAATGATCTGTGGATATCCACATCCACGGATTACAATACCCATGGATGTAAACTGACTATCCATGGATTCCCAGAAAACACATAGAGAACTTAAAAAGCAAGAGACATAAAGGAAAAACTCAAGTTTCTGTTAAGACTCTGATTAAACAAGTTATTTTTAAAAAATCTACATGAAGAGATCATTAAAGAGGGGCTGTTAAGGCCTTACAAATCAGGAAAAAAGTGAAGTTGCCCATACCAGCCCCTTGTGAATACGCACTACTGAAAAGTTCATCACAAACTCGTTCTTAAGTCATTTTAGGCTTTTGAGAAGATAAAATTCCATGCAGTAACTAGACAAACAATCACAAAACTATAACACCGTGTTCTAAAAACATTAGGGATAGTGAATGAGGGAAGGACTACTACACAGTCCGATCATTCACTGGGAACCTGCAGAAAACGCTGCAGTATATAATTACGTTTTAAACACAGGCATGCTGCACAGCCTCTCTTCAAAAAGTTAAAATATCATCCCATCTTCACTGCATGTACAGAGAGAAAGAAAGCATCAGATCTTAAAAGTAAAACAAACCCCATTTTTATTGGAACCTCCGAAGGCACATGCCCTGAATAAGGGCCACTTCTCTGCCAGATTAGGTTTTGTTTTCAGTCTCCAACCATTTTAGAGTTGTTCTGAAAGCATTATAGCGGGATTTATGTAAATAATGGAGCAAGTATCTCCTCCCTCAAAGACGGTGGTTGGTCCAAGATGGCTGAACCATTTTCACTCAATCTTTCCAAGACAGAGATGAATTTTCAGCCTCAAAAATGGTAGAAAGTTACAAACTACTGAAAACATGGGTTTAATAGGGAAACAAATGAAGCAAACCCTCACGGATAAGTTACTGAGGCTCCCATAACACATCAATGGCAGCACAAGATGCAATACAACCGTATACATTGCATTATGTTATGTATGTTCTTATACTATATTACCGGTAACTCTCTGGTCCTTAGTAGCAAATGTAGGGAGAGATACTGCGGTCCCTCCGTCCTGAATCTTTTATTCAGATTAATAATAGCAGCAATGACAACTCTAGTTAAGGATGAATAAAGATTCCTTTCTAATCCACTTGTCAATCACTCATACATGTCCCAAAACATTGTCTTTTATCATGAACATTCCCAGGCTTGGTCTCTGGCTGAAAGGGGTTTTTCTTCTTTTGAAAAGGTGAGGAGAAACGGTTTGGCCATTTTTTGAAAAAAAAAAATCAAAGGACGTGACTAAAACTTTTGTAGCTGAAATGCCAGCAGGTAGATGCTGCACTCTTGCAGGGTGAGGATGTCATTCAAAAGCAACGGTTTGGAGCACTTGAGCAAAAACTGGTTTCGACCTGACTAAGTTAGGACCCTTTCAACACTGCCTCCAATGCGTGCCCGACGCCCTTTTACTGCGAAGCTCAGGGAGCGTGTCGCTAACGCCACAGGCAGCTGCCCCGGTCACACACCTTACAAGGTGTGTCCACAGAGCCCTGAGAACCTTAGCAGGTCTCTCCCCCACAACCCTCCAGAAGGAGCTTCTACAGCTGCTGCGGTGTTAGGGAACAGGAGGCGGCAAACCCTGCTCTTGTGCCGCTTGGCAATGCCCTAGCTGGCCTACTTAGCCTCATTTAAGGTTAGATGGGAGAGGACTTGCTCCTTGACACCTTCTTAAGTGGCTGGAACATGGCATTGTGGTAGCATCTAGCCAAACCGTCAGCGTTCTTTCTGGTAACCACACAACACACCTCCCTCATAAGCACCCAGGAACCCACCCCTGCAATCAGCCCCGATGCCAACTCTGCACACACTTCTACACCAGCAATTTCATCACTGGACCCAGCCACATCAGAGGCTCATTTAACTGCACATCCACAAATGTAGACTATGCCATCAAATGCCAGCCACGCCCCACTGCCATGGATATTGGCAAAGCTGGACAGTCTCTATGGGAAAGAACGAATGGACACATCTGGTATCTGAAAAGGCAACACACAAAATCTTCCTGGGGAAATTTGAATCCTCCTGGACACTCATTAATGGATCTCCAAGACACTGTTTTGTTTCAGACCAATTCCACAAGCCAAATACACAGAGAAAGGTTAGAACTTAACTTCATTCAAAAGTTCAATTTTCATGCAAATGGTATGAATCGTGATATTGGATGGCTCGTACATTATCAACCAAACCAACGAAGGGGCTAACGGTTCTTGATGTCCGTGTAGAATCTGGTGTTGGTCATCTTCCTTTCCAAGTGCAAACTAATGGTTCTTATCAGCCTCTTGTAACTATTTAGACTTTAGGGTGCTACTAGACTATTTGTTGTTGTTTAAGTCTTTCCTGTTACAGACTAAACTCGGCTACCCTTCTGAAGCTTGTCAGCATTATGACATTTTTGTCTATCGCTTCTCCTTAAAAAAAAGAAACGGGGCCCAACAAAATTCCACTAAGTACTACATCAGGGGAACAGAAGGATTGCACCGTTAACGTTCAAGAGTCAGGGAGAAGGCAGCCCAACCATTACG